TGTGGCTCAGAGTTTCTTTAATGTCCTGAGTTAGTTTTTTTCTCAGGTTTTGTTGTTGAACCAGTTTGTGCTATTTTTGTTTCATTTGTTCCCAAGGGGGGAAGGGGGAGGCACCTAGGGAGTGCTTAGGCAAGAGGCCTGCGGGCATACATTACCCGTAGAAGTTGACTGTCTATGCACACTAGGAAAGACCTGGGCGGACCATCCCTTGTATTTTGGTTAGTGCACCAGGTGGTGCTAGTTAAGTAAGTAGTGGGTAGGCAGGTAAGGTAGGAGAGGTGGCTTTGATATTTACTTTCTTTGCTTTGGTTCCGTCCAGCCCCTTTTCCCCAAACTTACCGTGCGAAGGAATAAATTCCCTGTTAACGGTATTCTCTGCCTTTTGTCATCCTTACTCACACCTACAGTCCCATACCTCTTTCACACCACAGAGAGTTGAGTTGTAGCAGGGTGTTACGTTCCCTCTTCCGAGAGGCGTGTGTAACATAATGGGGGCTCGTCCGGGATTTCATTAAACCCACCGGACCCTGCTGCACTGAGCTCTCTGAAATGTGATTGAGGTGTGATGGTAGGTTGTGAGTTTGGGTGACTTGTTTAGTTTGTGTGTATTCAGGAGGCTTCTGTATACAAGATGGCTGCCTCAGCCATCTCCAAGTTCATTGAAGCGCCCTCTGTTGATAGTTTGGTGAGGTTTCGGAAAATAGATATTTTCGCTATTGCTCACCATTATGGAATTGTTGTCCCTGAGAAAGCCCTAAAGGCTGACCCACCACCACCGAAAGCACTGAGCTAGGCTGAAACACCTGCATTTTGAAGATGCCTTACTCAAGAAAGCAAATAAGAGACCATGTTTTTATGTGGTTTTATTTTACATTGTTTGCAAACTGATATGTGACACGTATCAATGCCAAAATAACATGCAAAACGGTGGGGCTCAAAACAGGTTGGGCTCAGGTGGGGCTCAGGTGGGGCTCAAAACAGGGAATTAGGCCTACATTGTTTTGACTTTACACACTCTACTTTCCATGCTCAATACTCACGTTGAATAATGTGGGAATAATTTGAATGCTGTTGAATAAATTGTCCAAATAAATTACCATATATTACCACTTATGTAACTGAAAACCATGGAACTGCAGTGTTATTCATCTTTCTTATGTATTTCCCTTACATTGACTTAGCATTTCTTTTTTTTAGAGTGAACCCATAACCTTTAAGCGTGACATTTAAAGCAGAAAAGCCCATAGGGTTGTGATGTGTTCTCAGCGGTCACACTAGCAGCACAAATGATAGATGATAGCATCCAACAGAATGTAGTCTGCCCCAAAACAAAACACAGCCCTATTTCCCCAGAAGAACTCATAGCTATTTTTTGTTGTTGTTGTTGTAGGCCTGTGCATAGCCGCGGGAAGTAGGGGTGCTGAGGATTCTGCAGCACCCCCTGAAAAATCTGAATTACAAAAAAATATTAATAAAAAACAAATATATACAGTACCAGTCAAAAGTTTGGACACACCTACTCATTCAAGGGTTTTTCTTAATTTTTTTTCACTATTATTCTACATTGTAGAATAATAGTGAAGACATCAAAACTATGAAATAGCACTCTGCCTAGGTCAGCATCCCAGAGTCGCCTCTTCACTGTTGACGTTGAGACTGGTGTTTTGCGGGTACTATTTAATAAAGCTGCCAGTTGAGGACCAGTGAGGCGTCTGTTTCTCAAACTAGACATTCTAATGTATTTGTCCTCTTGCTCAGTTGTGCACCGGGGCCTCCCACGCCTCTTTCTATTCTGGTTAGAGCCAGTTTGCGCTGTTCTGTGAAGGGAGTAGTACACAGTGTTGTACAAGATCTTTAGTTTCTAGCAAATTCTCGCATGGAATAGCCTTCATTTCTCAGAACAAGAATAGACTGACGAGTTTCAGAAGAAAGTTATTTGTTTCTGGCCATTTTGAGTCTGTAATCGAACCCACAATTGCTGATGCTCCAGATACTCAACTAGTCTCAAGAAGGCCAGTTTTATTGCGTCTTTAATCAGCACAACAGTTTTCAGCAGTGCTAACATAATTGCAAAAGGGTTTTCTAATGATCAGTTAGCCTTTTAAAATGATAAACTTGTATTAGCAAACACACCGTGTCATTGCAACACAGGACTGATGGTTGCTGATAATGGGCCTCTGTACGCCTATGTACAGTGAGGGAAATAAGTATTTGATCCCCTGCTGATTTTGTATGTTTGCCCACTGACAAAGACATGAACAGTCTATAATTTTAATGGTAGGTTTATTTGAACAGTGAGAGACAGAATAACAACAAAAAAATCCAGAAAAACGCATGTAAAAAATGCTATAAATTGATTTGCATTTTAATGAGGGAAAGTATTTGACCCCTCTGCAAATCATGACTTAGTACTTGGTGGCAAAACCCTTGTTGGCAATCACAGAGGTCAGACGTTTCTTGTAGTTGGCCACCAGGTTTGCACACATCTCAGGAGGGATTTTGTCCCACTCCTCTTTGCAGATCTTCTCCAAGTCATTAAGGTTTCGAGGCTGACGTTTGGCAACTCAAACCTTCAGCTCCCTCCACAGATTTTCTATGGGATTAAGGTCTGGAGACTGGCTAGACCACTACAGGACCTTAATGTGCTTCTTCTTGAGCCACTCCTTTGTTGCCTTCGCCGTGTGTTTTGGGTCATTGTCATGCTGGAATACCCATCCACGACCCATTTTTAATGCCCTGTCTGAGGGAAGGAGGTTCTCACCCAAGATTTGACGGTACATGGCCCCGTCCATCGTCCCTTTGATGCGGTGAAGTTGTCCCCATAGCAAAAAACACCCACAAAGCATAATGTTTCCACCTCCATGTTTGACGGTGGGGATGGTGTTCTTGGGGTCATAGGCAGCATTCCTCCTCCTCCAAACACGTCAAATTGAGTTGATGCCAAAGAGCTCGATTTTGGTCTCATCTGACCACAACACTTTCACCCAGTTCTCCTCTGAATCATTCAGATGTTCATTGGCAAACTTCAGACGGGCCTGTATATGTGCTTTCTTGAGCAGGGGGACCTTGCGGGCGCTGCAGGATTTCAGTCCTTCACGGCGTAGTGTGTTACCAATTGTTTTCTTGGTGACTATGGTCCCAGCTGCCTTGAGATCATTGACAAGATCCTCCCGTGTAGTTCTGGGCTGATTCCTCACCGTTCTCATGATCATTGCAACTCCACGAGGTGAGATCTTGCATAGAGCCCCAGGCCGAGGGAGATTGACAGTTATTTTGTGTTTCTTCTATTTGCGATTAATTGCACCAACTGTTGACACCTTCTCACCAAGCTGCTTGGCGATGGTCTTGTAGCCCATTCCAGCCTTGTGTAGGTCTACAATCTTGTCCCTGACATCCTTGGAAAGCTCTTTGGTCTTGGCCATGGTGGAGAGTTTGGAATCTGATTGATTGATCCCTTTAAGAGTGTGCTCCTAATCTCAGCTCGTTACCTGTATAAAAGACACCTGGGAGCCAGAAATCTTTCTGATTGAGAGGGGGTCAAATACGTATTTCCCTCATTAAAATGCAAATCAATTTATAACATTTTTGACATGCATTTTCCTGGATTTTTTTTTTGTTATTCTGTCTCTCACTGTTCAAATAAACCTACCATTTAAATTATAGACTTTTATTATTTATTTGTCAGTGGGCAAACGTACAAAATCAGCAGGGGATCAAATACTTTTTTCCCTCACTGTAGATATTCCATTAAAAATCAGCCGTTTCCAGCTACAATAGCCATTTACAACATTAACAATGTCTACACTGCATTTCTGATCAATTTGATGTTATTTTAATGGACAATATTTATTTATTTTCTTTTGAAAAGAACCCTAACTTTTGAACGGTAGTAAATATATATATATATATATATATATATATTTTTTTTTTACAAAAGTAGTGCACTGGGGCTTTACTAGTCCTGTATTAGCAGACCCATATAGCCATCTGTAGCTCAGGCAAAAAAATAATATGCACCCCCCCACCCCAAAACATCTTCATGGGGGTATGTGGCTGTGTCCTCAAAACATTTGGTTCCCCCAGTATCTAATGAAACCCACGGGGAAAGAACAATGATATGATACAAGCATGTAATGTTAATGTAAGAAATGTGTGAGTAGCGTGTTGTGCACCATTGCTCTGTTGTGTGTGTAAATGTGAACATGTTTCATAAAATGATATATGGCCCGTGAAATTCCTTCTCCATGTTCAATATGCTTGTAACACAATAACTGTATGCTCAATGTCATAATTTCTCTCCATTTATAAATTGCTTATATTTTTTGCCTCATATTTTCTATATTCTGTACATTCAGTTTACTCAGACGGATGTTTGGCACCTTGGGATCGGGATTTATGGCTCTTGGACACCACTGACAGTCATGGCTAGAAGGGATACAGCCTTTGTCAAATTAAAACGTCAGATTTGACTTTTCATAGCAAATTAGGAGAACTTATGCAGCAGGTTAGGAGAATTAACGTAGCAGGTTAGGATAATTAGGTCAAGGTTAGGAAAAGGGTTAGGGTTAGCTAAAATGCAAAACATTTCAACTTTTGACATTCATTTGACAAAAGCTGGAGCCCTTCTAGCCATGACCGACAGAGAGCCAGGCACAATATATGGACCGCGGATTCGAACGCCACTCTCGATGGTGCACTCGGATTTAACTCTAGTGGAGCGAGAGGGACCCACTCGTTCCCATTCCACACCCCGTTAACTTTCCTTGACCGGAGGGGGGCAATGATAGGAGGCGCCAAGAAATAAAAAGTGCTGGATAAATGAATTATCAGGACAGCCAAACTGGAGGAAAAAAGTTTACATGAGACTGTTTCTGGTGTTGAGTTCCATGCACGCAACAGGAGGGGGACAAAGATGTGTGGTCACGACTCATGACGCAATCCAGTTCGTCATGAACTGAATCACATTGGAATGTATTTAGTGACGTGAAACCAGGTTAGCACTACGCTGGGACACGTTTGTTTTATTAAGTTGCTTATGCCATTAATATAGCAAACCCTGCGCTCTACTTTTCACCGCTGGATTATACTGTGCGTATTAGTTCTTATTCCTGAAAGTGGCATTTGTGAAATCGCATTTTTTCTATGTTTCTGTGAACACAATACGGATATATTCACACTCTTACACTCTGCCATACTACATTGCCTGGTATTCTACGCAGTGTTGAGAGGTTGGCTTTACACTGAATCGCGAGGGGCTCTGGGTAACTGTTACCGAATTCTCTGAGAAGACAATGCCTTGCATTCCATCTGTATACCTGTGGACGCCTGCATACGGAGAAGAGTCTCGTTTTGAGCACTTTTGCAGTTTCGTTCGTGTCTCCGTTGAATGCACAGTTTGATTTTGTCGATAGACAGCTTCAGCACCACATCTCTGAACAGCTCTCGTTTCCCTTCGGCGCATTTTTCCCCGGTCTGGATGGGCGCTATTTGTCCCTGTCTTTCATATAGCTCTTAACTGCTGGCGACTGTTTGCAATGGCATCACACGGATTTTGGGGTCTTGGTGCGCCGGAGAATGCTGGTGATAATACCAGCAACCAAAGCCCAACTACGCGTGAGTATTATCGGCTTGAGCCCTTAAAGGGAAAATGAAATAGCCTATTTGGTTGGATAAATCAACGTTTAATGCTTGCAAACAATAACTCGCATAAACAATGTATTCAGGCTACCAGGATAACTGTGGCTTAACAATGACCGGTAGACGATGTCACGTATTTTTTATGTCAGGCAAATAGCCCCTAGACAAGATGGGCTTAGTCAAGGTTAAGACGACTTTAAAAAATGTTGATAAACTGCTAGTAGCCCTATCATTGTGAATTTGGTAGCCTAATACAGCGTATTATGTTCATGTGAGGCTGTGTTCACCTTGTTTCAGCACGTTTTTTTCTGAATATTTGTAAGTTACACAGAGCCTGAATATAGCCCATTATTCATCCGTCTTTGACTTGATCTCTCCAGCCAGGGCATGGTGCCAGGCGGCGGCCCAAAAATTACCTGGAGGCATTGGATCGAAACTGTGTGGTAGGTTGGTTCTGGAAAAGAAAAAACACTATAATCTGCATATTAGCATAGCCTATATGAAGCAATATAACATTGTCGCAACATATTCATTGCTTATCATGCATTGAATTGTTTCCTCTTTTTCTGAATTTTATGAACTGAAACAAACATTTAAAGCTCTACTCAGTGTTGCTGGAGAGGGCGAGAAACCATCCGAGCCGACATCTGCCAAACTGGATGAGACAACGGTTGGGACCTGCGGATGCAATAAACCGTGCAATTGTCTAAAGGCGACTGAGGCGACTGTCGGGTTCTCAGATCTATATTCAACAGGTAGGCCTATAAACATGATAGGCCTACATTGATACATTTTTCACATACGAAATCGTGATATGTGTGGCCTACCCGAATGATGGACATTCATATGAAACACAGAGTCACCTTCAACAAATTCCACAAGAAGCCTATTTTAAAAACCCAAGTAAACATACTGACTTATAGACCTATTTTTTTAAACAGAAAATGTGTTATATTTTCTATTTACATATAATTAATTTAGGTTAGTCATTATCACTTTGAAACAATATAATATAATAGTCGATGGCCTTATGTATCTGGTGTAAATGTGTAGCCTATTATTTCCTAATAGGTCTACAGCTTATACGCATTTTCTCCTTACTTAAATGTAGGCCTATCTGTCCTTCATTTTCAAGGTTAAAATGACACGTTATAGCTAAAATTATAATTGCCTGCATTTTAACATTGATTCACAGATCTACTACCCGCGTTGGATGGTGACATGAAGACAATGACTTTTCTCCAAGAAGTTGTGGATATTTTGCTGGCATATATCACGGAATCGTTTGATAGGGAAACGAAAGTAATTGATTTCCACTATCCCAATGAATTGCTTCAGAGAAACAACTGGGAACTGCAGGATGATCCAGAAACACTGGATGATATATTGATAAGCTGTCGTGCAACGCTGAAATACGCTATCAAAACAGGTATTATAAGATATGTATCTTTTGCAGCAAAATGCTAATTTCGCAGCTTTTTTGTGAGAGGAAATGTACAATTCAAAATCAGTATTGCCTGTCTGCCTGCTGTTTTACTCAGCCTATAGCTAGCTATATGTTGTTGTTTTTTTCATTCGTTTTGGGTCAATATAAACCAAATGAATTGCTAAATGTTTTCTTCTGAAGAGTTGTCCCTGTTCATAAATTAGGCATAGGGCTACCCCGGACGAAAATTAAAGGGCTCAGTTGGTAGAGCATGGCGCGTGCAACGCCAGGGTTGTGGGTTCGTTTCCCACGCGGGGCCAGTATGAAACATTTATGCACTCACTAACTGTAAGTCGCTCTGGATAAGAGCGTCTGCTAAATGACTAAAATGTTAATTGTTTAAAAATATATATTAATAGATTGAGATTAAAAGATAAACCAGGCCTATCCAGTGGCATATCCAAGAAAACAGACCTAGGTGTGTTTTCGTTACCTGCTTTTATTTAGAAAAGTATTATCGATGGTGTGTATAGATGGTGGAAATCTAATGTTTTTGAGATCATAATCTGTTAAATGTGCTAGGTCATTTTTATTCCCCGTGCCGCACTATTCGGATGAAGAAAGGCATAATATATGGAGCAAATTGGAAATGACAGGATATCCTTCCCCAAAATCCAATTTCCAAACGAATTTGACAGTATAAATGCTAAAATCACTAACATGTTCCATATAGTATCAATGCTAAAATCACTAACATGTTCCATATATGCTATGCTATTATCCTCATCATGTTCCATTTAAAAACTAAAACGAATACCACAAGGGCTAGTGAGATTACTAACAAATGTTGAAACGTTTTGACATCACCTTCTCTCTAAAATGTTCTAGCATGACCATACAAGCTTAATAGTTGTCACTCCAAGAACACACCACAACTGAATTAAACTATGAAGGAGCTACACACAGCCTTACATGCCAAGCTGTGCCAAGTGGCATAGGCACCAGAATCACGTAAAAAGCATAGTATGGCAAACAGAAAAATAGGAAAATATGCCTGACATTTCCAAAAAGACCACTGACAATTCTGTCATCTCACACAATTTCCTCTGCTTCTAGCCCACCCCAGATACTTCAATCAGCTCTCTACAGGATTAGACATGGTTGGTCTTGCAGCTGATTGGCTAACGTCGACCGCAAACACCAACATGTGAGTATGACTAGCCCCATCATGATTCAAATGATAAAACATCATAACAGTCATTTCAATTCCCGGACCATCCATATGCATTCTCTGCTGCGTCTTCTCACACTGATAGTGAGGTCTCGCTCAACGAGAGCATGTGACATGGTTGAAAGGAAAGGCAGCACAGAATTCAATCCCGTATTCATTTAACCCCACACCCTACCTCCTTCCCTCCTTTGCTATCCCCATGGCAATTCAAGGGGTGAAAATTAGCATTTCGGCTTGATTCAGGCTAATCGGAAGTTAATTTCTGGCTGAGCGGGGGATGATATATACTGAGAGTCATGGATCAGTGAAATAAGGGTTCTGCTGGCAGAATTAAATGCACTGAATCCCCAAAATGAATACATTTGTAATCAATTTGGAGTCAGACATGCTGTAGTGTAGCAAGGCGTGTGTATGATGCAGAGAATGTTGAACTGTTTTGTGATGTAGAGAAAAATGTTATATATCGAGTATTGCATTTAACCTACATATAACTTCCAATAACCTTTATAAATTCCACTGTGTTTGTGGTTGAATTGCAAGTTAATTGGCAATCAAATAAAGACTGTTGTACATTGACATCTACTGCTATGTGCATTCCAATAAAACCAAAGTTTTGCTTTGTCTGTCTTGACTTTGAAATACTTTGTCAGCTTCTGTGAGCTATATGACCCCATCCCTCATGCTAAACCTGAGCCCATGATAAACTGTTTCTCAAGCCAAATCGGTTGTGAAACCATAGAACTGCAGAGGGGGGAAAAGACAGACGCTAAATCATTTGTCTGTCGTGACGTTTGACTTTTCTCATTTTTTGGGGTCTGGATCCATATTTTGTGTAACTCAGTCATGTGATCTCTCTTGCGCAATCCAGGTTCACCTATGAGGTGGCTCCAGTGTTCGTGCTGCTGGAATACGTCACTCTGAAGAAAATGAGGGAGATCATTGGCTGGGAGGATGGCCGAGGAGATGGAATATTCTCTCCCGGTGCGTAGGTGACGCCAATTATAACCCCCCATCAGATTCACAGAAAATGGGTTGGACCATTTCCAGCGAAATGTCAATTTGCATTTTGATGACAAAAATGGTATACTTTACACAGTCAATTAGCATAATACCACCTCCTCCCTTACAACATAACGGTTGCTTTAATTTCTCCTCGGGACTCTTGGTTGACATATAAAAAAACAAAAACAAAAAACATAGGAGGTTATAATAACAGAGGCAAACTGATGCTTTTTCACAATTAAATGGACATGGAAATATATATTATCATCATTGAAACGTATTTCCTCAAAACATTTAAGACAGATTCTTCTGAGACATGTATGTTACCTATACATAACCCTTTCATTTACTTTTAGTCCTGTGTTAATGAATAGCCAAAGCATTATCTTCCTGTGAATTTTGACATCTGATGGCTGTACGAAATTATACTTACACACCACAAGTGATTGAGGAGCTGTTGGTGCTTACACAAGTGATTGAGCGGTGTGCTCTCCTCTCTCCTCTAGGTGGTGCCATTTCCAATATGTATGCCATGCTGCTGGCTCGCTTCAAGATGTTTCCTGAAGTGAAGGAGAAAGGAATGTCATCCGTCCCCAGACTGGCAGCCTTCACATCCGAGCATGTAGGCCCCCCTTTACCTTACTCATGTCTTTAATTTTCTCTTTATTTCAATTGTTAATTCATTCATTTATAATTTTATTAATTTCTTGCTTTGACTTCCTTTTTTTTCCTCTCTTTTATTTTCTTCTCTTTGTTGTGCATTTAATTTAGTTGCTTCATAGTGATGTTATCCCAATGTTTTGGTGAGGGAGTAGAATTTGTATGCTTTGTTCTTAGATTACGTCAAATTACAAGGATCCAGCGTTCACTACTTAAAGAGGGTAATGTTTGGCAAGGTGGGCTTCAGAATCCCAATTTGGCCCAGCTGTTCCAGCTGTTGGGCCAGCTGTTCCATATAAAGCCAGGTCACATTTTTCCTCACTGATGTATTTATGTTGTAGAAAAAGGGACTGACATCTCAGCCAGTGGCACCCGATGTGTTTTTAGGTAGGAAATGTCAGTGTGTCACCTTCACATGCAGCCATAGCTAATGTGACGCTAATTTGCTGACATTCTGCATGACAGCACAGCACACAAGGACACTTGCTGATATCTCCTCTCCCCTGCAGTGGTCCAGGATATTTAAACAATTCGGCGAACAACAGCTAAAATGGAACATTCCCAAAAGTCTTTGCATTGCCTTGGACAGCAACATTCCAAAGTTACTACTGCTTCATCTCTTTTTATTCTTTCCTTGGTCTTGAATTCCCTTTATAGCAGCATTCAATGAAATGCATCAAACAGGAAATGTCATCAGGTTACTATAAGAGCTTATGCAAGGGATTTCTCTTCTTCTGTGTCTTTTAGAGCCATTTCTCAATCAAGAAAGGAGCAGCAGCCCTTGGCATTGGGACAGAGAGTGTCATCTGCATCAAAGCTGATGAGAGGTACTGTAGTATTGTAACTATACAGCAGATGCAGAATAAAACAGAACATGTCATATAATGGCAAAAGCATTCAAGCAATGAAATCCTGTTTTTTCCTTCGCAGTGGTAAAATGATACCAGCTGACCTTGAAAGGAAAATACTGGAAGCCAAGCAGAAGGTAATTTCATACACATATGACACGTCCATCCATATCTCTGTTAAAGAGCAATGGCTATTAAGTCCGTTTTTATTTTTATTTTGTACACCCATATGGAAATTTACCACAATGATGATCAGGAATGTGTCTATTATCTAGAATATATATAATCTGTAATGTCATGTGTATAATGGGAAATATTAATAATGTTGGTATGTGATACTGTACATGCAAAGGATTTATTTTCATGTTGTATATTTAGGGCTTTGTGCCATTCTTTGTGAGTGCGACGGCTGGCACCACGGTCTACGGAGCCTTTGACCCCCTCATTGCCATCTCAGATATCTGTAAGAAGTACCAAGTCTGGTTTCACGTGGATGTGAGTGGAAACACTTGTACTTTATCTCATTTTTTACTGGTATACAGAGCAAGACTCCTGTTATGGTGGCCAATTACAGGACATTACCTTAAGTTACACTATACAAGTGGCTATTACACACTCAAGTTACTTTAGGTGAATATCTTTGTTATTACCTTATTAGATGGTAAATCCATAGCATTTAGCTCTGGGTGTTTCAGGGACAGGGGCATAGAGAGCTCACCAGCCAGAGTTTGATTCATGTAATATATCTGAATCCCCTCTGCTGCTTTCAGCTGACCTAGATAGGAGCCAGCCACTCAGTCAGTTTCCTCTGTAACACTGGAGATTAAGGAAACTGGAGCAGGTGCTGTAAATCATCCTTTCCCCTGACTTCCCCATCATGGCCTCTCTCACCGAAGGACTCTGTCTAATGGAGGTGATTGAGGCATGACATACGGACACCTCTATTAAGACCAAGAAAGGAGATCCATCAATGTCAAACTGCAGACATGCCAGATTTGTTTAGGGCCTTTTTACGTTGAATTATTGTATTCTCGAACATAGAACTGTGAGGGTGCTCTCTTTCCACCAAATATGAAATAGAGAAGAGTCATCAGTATTTGTAGGAAATTGTCAGCGGGCTCACTCCGTGAATATGAACTGTATGTTGTTGCATATGGCTGGTTGAGTTCAGACATGCTGTGGTGCAATGGGGCTCTTCATGTTGAGACTCAGTCACACGCTCTGAAGTGTTCTGTAGTTTGGTAATCTCACTGTCTCTCTCTCTCCTCAGGGTGCGTGGGGAGGCAGTCTCATCATGTCCAGGACACACAGGTGGAAGCTAGATGGAGTTGAGAGGTCAGTACTGAAATGTACTGAAATTAATGTAGTGAAATGTTCTGTTATGAATTTCCTTTGAATTGTTTGATTTCATTTAAATCAATATTCCGAAAAAGTACCCATTGTTGTTGTCATTCATTCACAGGGCCAATTCAGTGACATGGAACCCTCACAAGATGATGGCAGTCCCACTGCAGTGCTCAGCCCTGCTGGTCCGGGAGGAGGTAAGGGGTCAAAGGGGAGAGGTCAAAAATAGTGCCTTTACATATCATTCATCACAATGTCTTCTTTCGTTACATTTCAGAATAAGAGGCCTATGTTCCTACATGACTAAGGTCATTGCTAAGATACACATCCATCTGTAATGACCTTGTGGCTAATGAGATTACAGGATATGTATTAACTAGCTATTGTCACTGTTGTATAATCTAAAGTGTATCTTTTCTCTTCTCCAGGGCCTGATGCAAAACTGCAACCAGATGCACGCCTGCTACCTATTCCAGCAGGACAAGCACTACGACCTGTCTTACGACACAGGGGACAAGGCCCTGCAGTGTGGGCGTCATGTGGACATCTTCAAGCTCTGGCTCATGTGGAGAGCTAAGGTGGGAAGAGCACTGATTACAAATGTGGTTATCTTTCGGTCATTTCGTTCGATACAGATCCCCTATGGGGATTTTCATCATGCCTTGTTTTAGATAACATTTATGTTGATATGTTTTGTATTTTTTAAATGTTATAGTTCTCTTTGCCAGGGAATATCTCATGTATATTTCAAAATAGATATTCCATAAGCCTTTTACAGCCTAATACAATTTGCAGTGTATTGCTTTTCTGATTGCATTGTTGACGTCTGTGTGACTACATTGTGTGCAGTATGAATTAAAAACCTTTAGTAGCCTTCTGTTTCTTCAGTCAACAAATGGTCCTGTTGAGTATAATATAGTGAGAGAGCTTTGTGATGCTGGACATCCCAGCCAAACAGATTCCCCCTGACAATGTGGCTGGGATGTAAAGCCAGTCCTGGTCTGCAGTTTGACCCCTGCAGCTTGACAGTTGAGGACTAGTGGGGTAATTGCTTATCACAGTGCTACAATGGGAACTGACAGGGAGGGATGTGTGGAGGGAGTTGTTTTTGCTAGTGTTGCATTTGGACTGTGGGTTTTAGTGTACCAAGTGTCTTCTCTAATTTGGTGGAGACATTTATGAAACATTCTTGGAAAATGTCAATCACTACAGGAAAACAGCGTTCGTGTTTATGCTATCAGTTATTGGGGAGGAAAAATATGAGCTATTGTTAGTATGATTTTAAAATAAGCTTTTCTCTCCTCTCTCTTTTCACCTTTGTTGTTACCTTTACCATGTTGTTGACAGCGTTTTCCTCTTCACCGATAGGGCACCATCGGGTTCGAGGCTCAGATTGACAAGTGTCTGGAGCTTTCGGAGTACCTGTACAACAAGATCAAGGACAGGGAAGGATATGAGATGGTCTTCAATGGAAAGGTATGTTCATATTAAATGTTTTGTATGGTTAGACACTGAACGACATGAATGATAAGACAAAATCATATGGTCAGAGATAAGAAATTAGGCTACATTATACCTAAATATTCTCTCCATTGAGTTGATGTGCTGGGCTACTGTATATTGCATCTGATATGACAGTAACTTTTATGTAATTGACAGTACACTTGATTGACAGGTTGTATGCAGTTGCTTTGTGCATGATGAAATGCCTTGGCTGTCGGGATAATATGCTGCTGTTATGTTTAATGGCTGTTGTATTTGAGTTGTACTGTAACTACTCAACGCTCATATCCATATGAATAGCTGTCTTTCTTAAATGTTCCTTACTAAGCATAAAAGCAACACCAAATATACTGTACATTTATGTGATGAGGTTGTGAATGGCTAAAATCAAATTGGAATGTATTTTATACTACAGAGCATGGTTCACCAACCATGTTCCTGGAGAGCTACCATCCTGTAGGTTCACTCCAACCCTAATCTAGCACACCTGATTCTAATAATTAGCTGGTTGATTAGCTGAATCAGGTTCGTTAGAAAAGGGGTTCGAGCGAAAACCTATAGGAACAGGGTTGGAGAGCCATGCTATAGAGCCCTCAAAACTGAACTCTGGACCTCGAAGCCAGTTCCACTGTGTTTGTTTTATCATTGTTCCCCTCTAATGACGGACTGATTTAGACCTGGGACACCAAGTGGGTGCAATTAATTATCAGGTAGAACAGAAAACCAGCAGGCTCCGGACCTCATAGTGTAAGAGTTGAATACCCCTGCAGTAGAGTATGGACATCCTGGCATTTAAATGAAATTTATTTAGCTATGCTTATAATTACAGCCATATAAAAGACAGAGACCATTATAACACAATAGACTGACAGGCAGGAATAGTCCAAATCCCCTGGGCATTGGTCCAGGTGTTAACTTGGCTTGGTGGCCCAGAAAACCATAGCACCACATCAGTGCGGCTGTGACTCAACACTCACGCTAAATAAATGAGTCTGGTATGCATGGTCAGTCAGCCATTTGTAATGAATGCTTTTCACCAGTGAGCAGGCAGGTTTTTTTCTCCCATCACATCTGGTACTAGGAGATAGAGATGTGAGACACAGACATAGCTAGAGGGCTATGAATGAGAGCCACTCTACCTGCTTACTATTCAGACCCCCGCCACCGCCACCCGACACAGCAGAACTCACAGCAGAGTTCTTTTGTCAGGGTATGAATTACTCTTTTCAGTATACACAGCGCTGGCTTGATAAATTGACAGCCATGATTGCTTTGAAAGATTTCTATTTTGTAGAACCTGAGTGGATTCCAATAATCTATGGTTTCTCTAATGGATTTTTCGCCTGTCTTTCCAGCTCCTCAGTTTGACGTGTGCACCTGTGTGTGTGTGTACTTACATGTGTAAAGCATAATAATTGACTGATTAATAATTTCATCTTCCCATTTTGCACTGTCCCAGCCTCAACACACCAACGTGTGTTTCTGGTACCTCCCTCCTGGTGTACGCTACCTGGAGGACAAAGAGGAGAAAAAGAAGCGCCTGCACAAGGTGAGCAGTAGGAGATAAAGGACTAGTACGATCCTTATTGTCAGAGCCTCAAACGCCTCCATCTCACTACACTCAGTTTGTCCACATCATGTCTCCTTCACCTGAAAAAAAAGGCAGTCCTCTGATGTAATTTGTAGAAAGGTCCCTATGCCTAAAAATGGAAGGAGTTTGGAAAATCATTAAGCATGCAAATAGAGTTCATTTACTCAACCTCGATTGCACAATTTGAATGAGAGAATCTCAAATGACAGACATGTTTCCATGGACTGTGTGAGTAGGAGGGAGGGAGTGAATATGGGGGGATGGGCTATTGTTCATGAGTTCAATCATTGGCCGTGGGTTGATACTGTGGCAGCCACTCAGCAGCAGAGGTCCTCTAATCGGCAATTAGGAAAAACAGATGATGTGCCAGCCATACAAAGAGACTCTCTCTCTCTCTCTCTCTCTCTCTCTCTCTCTCTCTCTCTCTCTCTCTCTCTCTCAGTCTCTCTCAGTCTCAGTCTCTCTCTCTCTCTCTCTCTCTCTCTCTCTCTCTCTCTCTCTCTCTCTCTCTCTCTCTCTCTCACACACACACACACACACAGGGCTCTATTAAATCTGATATAGATCCGACATCCGCATAATGGTTGTTTTGGCGGTGTCAGAGGTGGAACTGAGTTAGAGCTGTCAAATCCTCAAGTGCCTCCCGGCATTATACCTAAAGCGGACATTGCCATTGGCTGCAGGGAGTCACATTAACAGAAATCCCATGCAGCCTTGTTTACAAGTTCAAACACTAGGATGATAGAAATTCTCATTAATTTATTTAATGACTTTTCAATGTAACGTAATTATTTCTATATAGCCTTCACTTTCTCGCTCTGAACTTCTAAAGTGAGTGGGGCGGGTGTGGCTTTGTGACAATGATCGCAAGAGCAGCTGCTCATTGGTTTGAAGGCGCCAATGCAGTTCCACCTCTGACACCGCCAAAACATGCGCTATGCGGTGTCTGTTAATGCCGGTTAACGCTTGGTCTGATTGAATCTAGGCCATTGTCTCATACACACATGTATGATACCATTCTTATTTTTCCAAACATTAAATAGTGTGGACATGCTCTATCTGTTATGGGTGTAGATGTTTAGCAGGAGTGATATTCTGGGTTTTCTGCAGACACTGAAGTGATTGTCATAATGATGACCATTTAGCACAATTAGGGACTGTGCTGGAAGACATGATATTCTGAATCCATTTTAACTTGCTATTTTTCAACCACCAGTGTTTTCAACAGTGCTTTGGACACAACATAATTTGCCAAAGGACTGATTCAAGTGAGGCACAATTCAGAGTTGATTATTTATTATTATTTGCAGGGTTGCCAATTACAACAGGACACCTGCAACAGATTTGTGCGGAATGACTGTAATAATAATAATAATATTACATTTGTAGAGCGCATTTTTCCACGCTCAATGCGCATAAGGTAGAAAGCAAAAACAAAAACAAAAAACAGCATCAATACATCAGTAAGTAGAGACAATAACCACAATACATCAAAACATGACCTACTGTTTCAAAATATAGACTTGAAGCAAATTAAGCGATCAAACATTAAAAGCTAACTAGCATTTTGCATGATCATGATGATGTGGCTGGTGAAAACTCGACTGCTGACATGCAAAACCATTTTGGGACTGTATCAACAGTGGACTAACAAATACCAAAATATTTTTGAGTGGATTTTCCCTTTTAAGGTAATATCCATCTTCTTTATTAAGCCTAAACTTGCGGAAGTTTCCAAAGTTCTGTTTGCCTTATGTAACTTAATGCCCCTAGATATATTCTAAGTCTAGAGAAGATTACTGTCGACCTGCATGTGATTTGAATCTGTAAAGCACTGCTATCTGTAAAGCTCTAAACTGAAAAGTTGAGCTTCTGAAACTGTCACTTAGCATTACCTCTTAGTAGTACCTCCTTGCCCCTTTAAGCCAAATGTGAATTACAAAAATACTGTACACCCAAATAAAATAGCTTTTTTGTCATTTGTATTTCTCTTCAGCACTTTGTATTAATACTTAATACTTTGTATAACTCTTAATACTTTGTATTAATGCTGAAAATCTTTGCATGGATAGAATGCGTCTACTCCATATGACACCTACAGGTGTAGGATCTTAATTTGATCACCCTTTTATTGCTGAGATCTTTCCTGCACCGCAGGAAATGCAGAGGAGCTTCATGATTTACATACATTCACTGAAAACCCGCACTAACACATGGTTATATTTACAGTATTCCACTTTTCATGTAGCCTCATTTTGACCAGCTAATAACCTAACCACCGATCAAGCAACATTATGGACTAAACCAGGCGTCTCCAACAGTAGCTCGCAGACCACCTGTGAGTAGCTCGCCAAACAATTCTGAAAGTACATGCAATTTTCACGTTCCACCGCAAACTGTCATAAAGAAATCTCACAAGTATCAGACACCGCAAGCTCCCAGCTAATATCTAACCAACGCAACATTGACATTTATCCCACCCCTGGTTAGCCACTATTGGCTTAACAAGCCAAACCTAACACAATATCTGCCAATTAAATTCCAGCAATATTGCCCCTTTCTGTCTGTGTGGTGCGAGCATTTGTCTATTACTCCATGTGTAGCCAGTAGTGACGGGTCTTTCGCGAATGAATGGCTCTTTTGGTGAACGTCGGGAACCGAATCACATATGTGAAAGAGCCGTTCATTTGGCTCCCTGATTTGCATACTTTTACTATTGTTTTTTGAGCTCCAGACATAAATGATCTGCAGGTAAGTCTTCATTTTTTTATTGCAGGCCATCTAATAATTTGGTCAGGTAAAAATATATTTCAACTCACATTTCATGATCTGACATAATGGTAGGCAAAGTTTTAGGCTTTAAAGTATGGTTTTATGTCAATTTCTAAGCATTACTGATCGAAGATCTACAATTTTAGGTGAACAGAACCAAATGATCCAGCTCACAGAAAAGACTCAGAATGCCTATCACTAGTAGCCAGTTGATGTGCTAACCGTCTTGTGGGTTGACAGAAATACTTTCTGCAAAACCTTCTCAATTAAACGTTAACTGCAACGTATGCTTACTTGGCAGAAGTATATCATGAGTAAGTATATCATTTGTATTGATTATTTGTTATTTGCCAACTTTGCCATGAAATTAGCAGCAGCAGTACAGAACCATCGCTAGACCGGCACATTAGATGGCACACTAGACGCACAATTAAAGGGCTAGATGCGCAGTTAAAGGGGAATTACACTCAAAAATCGAAATATGTGAGTTCTCTTCCAGACCCCCCCCAAAAAGGTATTCTGATGTGATTTAAGTAATTGACATAGACTCAGAACATCCAATTTCCTTGTTTCTCTATGAACAATTGTAATTTTGAGAGTGAACCAGGAAAAAGAAAACTGAGAAAACAGAATTTGGGAAAACAGAATTTGGGAAAAACAGAATTTTGGAAAACAGAATTTTGGAAAACAGAATTTTGGAAATGAATCTCTGATTTTATAGGGCCCACATTACATGTTTTTTTATTAACCATTATTTTACCATGTATATTGACAGAAAACATAGTGCACTAAGAGGAAGAGTTGCAGGGGAGAGGAGAAGAGAAGAATGTGACTATTTGAAAGCTATAAAATGAGTAGCTCGCGAATTTGTTTTATAGTAGCTCTCATGCTAGAAAAGGTTGGAGACCCCTGGACTAAACATTGAAATGCTGTTGCTGCAGGATAATATTTTCTCCGACAATACAGGTCAAATTAAGATCCTACATCTGTAATTGTGCATTATAGACAATCCTGCATGTCTTCCAGCTCATTACTTTGCCTCTCCACTTGACAAGGCATTCAGCTCTGGCATAGGCTTTAGCTACAGCTAACAATTGGCACATTTCATTCAAGCAGGAAGATAAAAAAGATAAGTGCATGCAGCTGATATTTTAGAGTTGGAAAATAAGCCTTTTAAAGGTGTTGATGATTATTTAAGGGCTATATGTGTTATGATTAATACAACTGGAAATAGGCAGACACAATAAGTTGAATTTTAACAAACGGTCAAAATACTCATCAATAAATGAAGGAAAAACTAATGCAGACAAAATATCTGCACTAGTTTTGTGAAGTTATGGTCCCCTGTAGCTCAGTTGGTAGAGCATGGTGCTCGCAACGCCAGGGTTGTGGGTTCCTTTCCCACGGGGGGCCAGTATGAAAAATGTATGCACTCACTAACTGTAAGTCACTCTGGATAAGAGCTTCTGCTAAAATGTAAGAAATATTTTTCCCCAAAAATAATAATAATACTTTTTTATTTTTTAGGGGGTGCTGCAGCACCCTCAGCACTCGAAATTCCCACTCTCACTATATCCTCCAGAACTCGTAATTGAATCTGCCTCTGCACATCAGAGAAAGTAATCCACAAAGCCAGACAGACTGGACTGAACAACAAATAAATGACTTTCACCAAGTTTTATTGCAAGATAGCCTCTCAACATCACAGTGTCTGCTGAACTCTTGTGAACCTTTTTGGTGTTAGATTTACTTGTCACCCCAGCTGTCTGTAGCTGTCTTTTCGGCCTGTCCACCGAGTGAATGTAATTTGTGCATCTGTAGATACTGTAGCTTGACTGCAGGGATGTGTCGCAGTTTGATAAAGTGAACGGCATTCAGGTGGAATGAACATCAGATTGTGGTAAAAAAAAAAACTACATGGAAATGATGTTATCCACATTTTATTTAAGATATTTTGAAAACTGAAGGTTTCCTTTCGAAGGGAATAAAACGTTGATTCATGTCCATTTGTTTGTCAAAGGCAATTGACATTTTTAAATAAATAAATTAGATTTTGTTTTACAATAGTATTTCCTCATAATAGTTGAAAAGCACTTAACACTTTTACTTTGTAACACAACAATTGTATGTGTCTTGTTGTGTAGGTGGCTCCAGTGATCAAGGCCAGGATGATGGAGTATGGGACAACCATGGTCAGCTACCAACCACAGGGGGACAAGGTCAACTTCTTCCGCATGGTCATCTCCAACCCTGCGGCCACCTTCGAGGACATCGACTTTCTTATCGAGGAAATCGAGCGGCTCGGTCAGGATCTATAAGACTTGTGTCATCCAAATATCCCTTTCCTTTTCCCTAAACGGATGAAATGTTTGTTGTGAATGTATTGGTAATCTATTTTTCTTTCCTCTAAAGTCACATATTATAAAATGGTATGTTTGAGAAAATATTATCTATAGATATATCCATATTTATGTATCGTAGTTTTGTCGTGGACCTCCTTGGTCTGGAGCTCTGTAAAAGTTTTTCCTAGTGTAGAGTAATGTAATAGATGTAACTTTATATGTATTTTTGTGATATGAAATGCTAGTGCAATAGGTTGATGAGGAAGAGTTTATTTTCTAATTGTTTTCTCATTTGCCAGGTATATTGGAAGTGCCAGACATGGTTAAATTCCATTGTAAGCTACATTCTAGCCTCACTCATGTTTAAAAGAGTACTTCCACTTACCTCAACTCAGTCAACTGCCTTTACATTCGCATACATCAAGCAGTGGTTTTGGTAAAATGATGGTTGACTCACTTCTACTTGTATTAGGAAACAATGACAAAGTATCCAAATCCAACACATCCCCTAACTGTAGTATCTGAATTTAAACACATTTCCAAAAATGTGAAGGATGAAAAGAGTAGTGCCTCACAGCAGTGAAGGAGAAATAGATTAACTTTGTCCTTCACAACACAAAGGCAATGTCACTTGATTACTCAAAACCAATGTCAATTGAGTACTCCAAGCAGCTCTAAGAGTAGTGCCACAGTAATACTCGTCAAAGCAGCCATGTTCATGTACATCAGCAAAAGCAAAAGCACTTTTCATTTGATGACCTCATTTATTTAATGTCACTTTTAATTCTCTCCCCTGTGTGTAGTGGGTGCAAGATGACATAGGTGTGTGTGACCAATTCTTTTGAAAGCCAAAACATATCATGACGGGGAGTAATTCCAGGCTAGTTGTATAGTCAACCATGTTGTTTGTACCTCTCAGTACATTGATATACACTGAGTATACCAACCATTAGGAACACCTTCTTAATATGGAGTTGCCCTCAGAACAGCCTCAATTTGTCGGGGCATGGACTCTACAAGGTGTCGAAAGCGTTCCATAGGGATTCTGGCTCATGTTGACTCCAATGCTTCCCACGGTTGTGTCAAGTTGGCTGGATGTCCTTGGTGGACCATTCTTGATATACACAGGAAACTGTTGAGCATGAAAACCCCAGCAGCGTTGCAGTTCTTGACACAAACCGGTGTGCCTGGCACCTACTACCATACCCTGTTCAAAGGCACTTAAATGTTTTTTCTTGCCCATTTACCCTCTGAATGGCACACATACACAATCCATGTCTCAGTTGTCTCAAGGCTAAATAATCCTTCTTTAACCTGTCTCCTCCCCTTAATCTACATGGATTGAAGTGGATTTATCAAGGGATCATAGCTTTCACCTGGATTCACCTGGTCAGTCTATGTCATGGAAAGAGCAGGTGTTTGTAATGTTTTGTACACTCAGTGTAATTCTGTGGCATTGTCACCTTCTTGGGATAGACAGCAGACCTCTTAGAGCAGAGTGTGCATTGGAGAGAACCTGTATTTAAAGTGGAGTGAAGAGATTTGGTCAATATACTGCTTATTCATGGGTCCAATCAGCGCTTACATGTAGAGAGAGGTCTTAGAAACTGATATAATTTTGTTTTGAGTATAGACACTTCGCCAGGCTTGCAGCTATACTTAACATCACTTGCACTAAATCATCGGAAAGAGAGGTGCATCCCTTATCATTGTGGTTGAGGAATCTAATGTGTATTCATTCTCGAGCAATTAGGTATCTATCTGGCCAATAAACTAAGTTAACAAGCATCTTTTTGGTCAACTCAATAGTCTACAAAATAGGATGATCATATGCAAGTGTCTAACTTGTAAAACAATGTTAAAAGTTATGGACAATTGCATAGGTCAGTAGAGAGCAAGCACTGCTTCACTATAAGCAGGGGTTTTGTGGCATTGTCATTAGAACACAAGTTAGAAAAACACAATTTGCTCAACATGGTTTGTCAGTGTACAATCACTTTTAATCATAGGTTGTAAATATAATTTTTAGATACCATAACTGTAGTACAGTGGCTTCCGAAAGTATTCACCCCCCTTGGCATTCTTCCTATTTTGTTGCCTTACAACCTGGAATTAAAATGGATTTTGGGGGGGTTTGTATCATTTGATTTACACAACATGCCTACCACTTTGAAGATGCTAAATATTTTTTTTTGTGAAACAAACAAGAAACAAGAAAAAATAACTATTCACCCCCCGAAAGTCAATAATTTGTAGAGACACCTTTTGCAGCAATTACAGCTGCAAGTATCTTGGGGTATGTCTATAAGCTTGGCACATCTAGCCACTGGGTTTTTTGCCCATGTTTCAAGGCAAAACTGCTCCAGCTCCTTCAAGTTGGATGGGTTCCGCTGGTGTACAGCAATCTTTAAGTCATACCACAGATTCTCAATTGGATTGAGGTCTGGGCTTTGACTAGGCCGTTCCAAGAATGTTTCACCTTAAACCACTCAAGTGTTGTTTAGCAGTATGCTTAGGGTCATTGTCTTGCTGGAAGGTGAACCTCCGTCCCAGTCTCAAATCTCTGGAAGACTGAAACAGGTTTCCCTCAAGAATTTCCCTGTATTTAGCGCCATCCATCATTCCTTCAATTCTGACCAGTTTCCCAGTCCCTGCCAATGAAAAACATCCCCACAGCATGATGCTGCCACCACCATGCTTCACTGTGGGGATGGTGTTGTCGGGGTGATGAGAGGTGTTGGGTTTGTGCCAGATATAGCGTTTTCCTTGATGGCCAAAAAGCTCAATTTTAGTCTCATCTGACCAGAGTACCTTCTTCCATATGTTTGGGGAGTCTCCCACATGCCCTTTAAGCAATGGCTGTTTTCTGGCCACTCTTCTGAAAAGCCCAGCTCTGTGAAGTATACGGTTTAAAGTGGTCCTATGGACAGATACTCCAATCTTCGCTGTGGAGCTTTGCAGCTCCTTCAGGGTTATCTTTGGTCTCTTTGTTGCCTCTCTGATTAATGCCCTCTTTGCCTGGTCCATGGATTTTGGTGGGCGGCCCTCTCTTGGCAGGTTTTTTGTGGTGCCATATTCTTTCAATTTTTTAATAATGGATTTAATGGTGCTCCATGGGATGTTCAAAGTTTCTGATATTTTTTCATAACCCAACCCTGATCTGTACTTCTCCACAACTTTGTCCCTGACCTGTTTGGAGAGCTCCTTGGTTTTCATTGTGCCGCTTGCTTGGTGGTGCCCCTTGCTTAGTGGTGTTGCAGACTCTGGGGCCTTTCAGAACAGGTGTATATATACTGAGATCATGTGACAGATCATGTGACACTTAGATTGCACACAGGTTGACTTTATTCAACTAATTATGTGACTTCTGAAGGTAATTGGTTGTACCAGATCTTATTTAGGAGCTTCATAGCAAAGGGGGTGAATACATATGCACGCACCACTTTTCCATTATTTATTTATTTGTTAGAATTTTTTTAAGTAATTTTTTTCATTTTACTTCACCAATTTCGACTATTTTGTGTATGTCCATTACATGAAATCCAAATAAAAATCAATTTAAATTACAGGCTGTAATGAAACAAAATAGGAAAAACTCCAAGGGGGATGAATACTTTTGCAAGGCACTGTATATATCTATGTGTAAGCATTTGTGTATACAAAAGGCATATATTCAGAGACTATTTATGAGGTAAAATTATTCATATATTTTCTCTATTGAAATAACAGTATTTTCATCCCTGTTAGTCGATATTGCTTCTTCCTGTGTTTTTATGTCAAATACTTGACTTGATTAGTGTATATGATAGCTACTTCAAAGATAAATGCGTTCAGGGACTGTCTTTCAACTTATGCTAAAATAAATTTACCGAATTCATCTTGGAAAACATTTCAGATTACAACTGTGGTACAGTATGGATTTCAAATGAATATGCAAAGCCATTTCTAAACTCAAGCCCTGTGGTTTTTGTGTACAAGTGATACCTGACAGTATGTGCCAATGTGTACTTTTGTGTGTTTGTAACTGTGTTGCTTTAATATCAATTGCCAGTATTGTCTAGTTCTCCTCAAAGGGAGGATTGTGCACTTTAGACTAAACTCATAAGATGACCTAATAATGTGCAATGTCCAATGGTTGTTCATAGTTCGATGTTTAAAAAAAAACAAAAAAAATGGAAACTGTCATTAGTCTGAATGTGTGGCGACATAAGGGTCTGTTGGAAGTACCGGGTTTGGAAAATGCTTGCTTTTGTTGTTCCGTTGTTTTGTAGTTGGAGTGATCTTTAGATATGATGAAGTCTCTATCACCTGTCCTCAACAATGGAAGTTTAAACGTTTAAAAAGAATACAAAAAAATGCTGCATCCTTAAATCTATTTTCTGAAGTGATTCTATCTTTCTATCCCCTATCTAAATTGTCAAGCACACTGTGACACAAACAACATTGGCTATTGTATCACAGCAACAAAAACAAGAATCTCACTGTGGTAGTCGGAAAGTCAGCCATTTTCTTTCTCTTGCTGCTGCTACTAGATTTGCTTCCTTTGCATGTGCATGAAACGCCTTGCCTTTCCAGCTTGTGAAATACAATCTCCGGTATATGTAATCCGGTTTCTACTAGTTACCACAGCCATATCGTAAAACCGTATGAAAACAAAAATGTGCTTTTTGGTCTTAATTTAATGTTAGGGTTAGGCATACGTTTAGCAGTGTGGTTAAGGTTTAAAATCACATTTTATGAAGATACATTTAGGGTTTATGACTTTGTGGCTGTGGTAACTAGTGACAACCACGTAGTCCCTCTTACTAGCTTTAGCGTCAAATGAATAGCTTAGCTTATACTATAGTGTGTACTGTCGCTAGCCTTTAACAGCTGTTTTGTGTATCGTTGACGTCCTGTAAAAAGTTAGCTTCTCGCTCAGCAAGCATGCTAATCTTGCCTTGCAACTGTCCTCTCTGTGCTAATCTAACTTTCTC